TGGCAAATTCTACTCAGCGAATTTGACATTGTGTACATAACTTAGAAGGCTATCAAAGGACAAGCTTTAGCTAACCATCTCGTCAAGAATCCGGTGGATGGGGATTACGATCCACTTACCACGTATTTTCCCGATGAAGAGGTACTATTTACCAGAAAAGATATTACAGAATCGTACCCTGGATGGAGAATGTTTTTCGACGGAGCAGTAAATTTCAAAGGAGTCAAAATTGGGGCAGTCCTAATTTTGGAATCTAGACGACACTATCCAGTGTCGGCGAAGATAAGATTCCCGTCTACCAATAATATGGCTGAATACGAGGCATGCATCCTCAGAATCAGAATGGTGACCGACATGAACATCAAAGAACTTTTGGTCAAAGGAGATTCCGATTTGCTGATCCACCAAGTCAAAGGAGAATGGTCAACCAAGAATGTCAAGATACTACCGTACCTGCACTGCGTGAAGGAGCTGTGCAAGAAGTTCACAAAGATTGAGTTCAAGCACGTCCCTAGAATTCAGAACGAGTTCGTCGACGCCCTTGCGAACTTATCATCTATGATTCAACATTAAGAAAAGAACTACATCGACCCCGTCAAGATAGAAATCAAGGATCAACATGCCTATTACTTCCATATGAATGAAGAACCAGATGGTAAATCTTGGTATCACGACATCAAGAAGTTCCTCATGACCCAGGAGTACCCAGAAAATGCTACTAATGGTCAAAAGTGACCTCACAGGAGACTGGCAAACCACTTTTTCCTCAACGGGGAAGTCTTGTATAGGAGGACCCCATACTCAGGTTTGCTAAGATGTATAGATGCCGCCGAAGCAACAAGAATGTTGGAAGAAATACATGTGGGGATGTGCCGACCCCACATAAACGGGTTCACATTAGCCAAGAAGATTTTGAGAACTAAATACTTTTGGATGATCATGGAAAGCAACAACATCCTCTATGTGCAGAAGTGTTACCAATGTCAGATTCACGGAGATTTCATCTGGGTTCCACCAAATGAGTTAAATGTAATAGGTTCACCCTGGCCTTTCGCTGCCTGGGGCATGGACGTGATAGGACCTATAGAGCCTACAGCGTCAAACGGATATCGTTTCATTTTGGTAGCCATCGACTATTTCACTAAATGGGTCAAGGCATCTACTTACAAGGTCGTCACAAAGAAGGTGGGATACTAGAGTCTATCATCACTGACAATGCCTCCAACCTCAATAGAGACCTCATAAGGGAAATCTGCGAGAAGTTCAGAATCGTCCATCGCAATTCCATAGCTTATAGTCCACAATGAATGGGGCAGTCGAGGCAGCCAATAAGAATATCACGAGGATTCTGCGAAAGATAGTGGACAATTACAGACAATGGAATGAGAAGCTACCTTTCGTTTTATTGGGTTACCAGACTACCATGAGAACATCCACTAGGGCAACGTTGTACATGTTGGTATACGGCACTGAATCAGTAATACCCGCAGAAGTCAAAATTCCATCCTTAAGAGTCATCCAAGAAGTAAAATTGGATGACGCAAAGTGGATACGGGTCAGGCAAGAAAAACTCATGCTCATTGATGAGAAAAGAATGGATGAATTATGTCATGGATAGCTATACTAGAATAGGATGGCTAGTGCATTTAACAAAAGAGTGAAGCCTCGCCAATTCGCACCGGGGGAGTTGGTTGTGAAGAAAATTTTTCCCCATCAAGAGGAAGTTAAAGAGATGTTTGCACCAAACAGGAAAGGTCCTTACGTGGTCCACAGAGAACTATTTGGCGGAGCTCTAATATTAGCATAAATGGATAGAAGAGTCAGCACGAAGCCGATTAACTCGAACGCAATCAAGAGATATTACTTCTGAGGACAAATAGAGTTAGATTCTTATGTAACAGAACTACGTTCAACCTGACTTCCCACGGAGGGATACGTAGACAACCCACATAAGGTTCGGTTTCTCTCCCCCTTTATTTTGTAATAGAAATACCAAATATCATTTTTGTATGTTCTTCAGGAACTACGCCAACTTGATTTCCTCAGAAAGGAATACATAGGAAATCTTCATCGGATTCAGTTGTTTTTTGTAATTGAACTACGTCCTGGCCTGATTCCATTTGGATACGTAGGCTGTCTGAGTCAGACTCCCCCGTTTTCATCTTTTAATCTCATCATCTTGCATCTGTTATAATCGAACTATGTCCTGACTTGATTCCTGTTTGGATACGTAGGCTGTCTGAGTTAGGCTCGGTCGTTTCATCGCATTATATCATTACCCCACGAACTATGTTCAGACCTCATTCCGCTTTGGATACGTAGGCCATCTGAAAGGGTTCGGTCATAACCTTAGGAAACCTCTGTAATGCATCGGTCTTAATTAGGACACAATCACAACGACTAGTAGCCGCGTTGTCAGAAATACCATGGAAGATCGACATCAAACCGGACGAGATTCTCAGAGAAATGTGTTCACGTGCAGAGAACCCTAAGCAATATGTCATAATCCAGAATGACGGCATTTTCCTTAAAAGAAACAAATATGATCAGAATATTTTCTAATATATATATATATATAAAGTAACTTGTTCCATCTACCGAACTCCGTGGCGCAATCATGTCAAAGGTTGGGGAAAATCAACACTAGGGTCGACGCAAACCAACCTCCCCCCCTACTAAGAAGTTTTCTTTCAGTGAAGGCTCAACAGGGAGTAAAGAATCACTGGGACCACACTGGGGCAAATGACTGACCCGCCATTTACCTAATATTATCTCTCCTCCCTGTTACTTAAAATTTTTGACCACGGCTAAAGCTAACTCTTGAATTCTTTGCAAGTGCCTCGGAATCAGACAGCTGATGCAGAAATTTGTAAATAGCAAACCGTCTACTCACCTAATCAGAGCACCCTGTACAAATCGCACGCCGGCTTCACCAATTAAAGTGTTGTATAAAGAAAACTGTCAACTCGATCAATCGGAGCGCCTTGTACAAATCGAACATCGGCTTCACCAACTGGAGCCTTGTATATAGTAAACTGCAAACTACGCCAACAAAAAGCAATCTGCAGCACTGCTCCATAAATCACGAATGTCGGAATAGACAATCGCGAACCTTGTCACCAACGTTCTACCAATCGATGGCCGCAACTAGCTTCGCAGTCAGGAGTATCTCTTGGGCATGCTTATATTTTATTTCGGTGTTACCTTGAATATTTTAACGTTTTGTTCGTTCAGTTTTAGGCATGATTTCGATCTCTCTCGAGAAGAAAATACTCTACATTTTTCAGTGCAAAGCTCTCCCAACAAGTAGAGATGCACTCTGCAAATCAAGCTCTCCCAATAAGCGAAGACATTTCTCAGTGCAAAGCTCTCTCAGCAAGCAGAGACGCACTTCACCAATCAAGCTCTCCCAACAAGCGGAGACAATTTTCAAATGCTCTGACAGCTGCGAAACGATACCTAGCCCGGCTAACAAATCGAGTAAGGATCAAGTATCCCATCATCCCAATTCCAAATAATGGCTCGCCGGTAGCCAGGCATCATCATTCCTGCATCATTTACATGGTATCTTAATATATTCTGCTATATTGGTATGCGTGTATTTTATTTTGTTTTGTAGAAACAAACACCGCAGCGTGGAACTACTTCTTAGCAGCAAACCGAACTACAACGCTCTGGGGACAGCCAACCCAGTAGCGGGCTCAAGATCCCCACTCAAGATGACCAGTAAGTTCAAAATTTTGAGTCATTCAAATCAGGTGGCAAAATTCAGGCTATCATAAGTGACCAATCTTCCGTCTCCTAGTATCATCAAAATATGATACTGGGGCAATTCCAGCGAGTGCCGCTTCCCCAAAGTCCCTACTCCATAACTACATGAGGCCTGATACTCGTTAAGTCTGCGGTATGTAATCAATTCAAAGCCAGAATTCCACCTAATATTCCCAAACTTTCCTAGATTCTTCCTCAATTCATAACTTTCATGTCATTCTTGCAATACCTGCCTAAAAGTCGGGACAAATTGGCTTTGGTTCAATTTTTTTGTCCAAAAACTCTTTCATCATCTCCGGTCAAAGAGGGGCAGTTGTTGACGGCCAATTTTGACCCTCCCTTTTAAAATTAATTTATTCACGCTTAACAATTTGCAATAAATGCTTTAAAGGTATTTTTTTATTAATGGGTATCTATTTTTATAAATTAATTAAGTATTAGTTTCAAAATTTATTACATAGTACTAATATTGTGTAATTACAAATATATTTACTATTATAAATTAACTTTTGTATGTACATTACATAGGTTTTATAATTTGATAAAATTACTCCTCCATTTCCAAAATTAGGCTACTTTATTAATATTTTGAAATTAGTGCTACAATTTGAAATATGTGTCATTTATAGATAATTAAAATAATTAGTAACATATAGTAATTATAATTTCATCACATTTTAATGAAATTGTTAAGTTTATTTAAATTAATTTTAAATAGATTTTAAAACTAAAAGGCTACAAATGTAATTCCTTAACCAAGCATAAAGTGGCTATTCTTTAAATTAATTTTGGCCCAAATACCAAGCCCAAATCGGAACAACCCAGTCCAAACACCCCAACTTCTTCCAACTTGGCAATCCTTGCCATCACTTCTCAACCAATCACGATCTGACACATCACCCGCTAATCCCACTCACAAAACAAACACAAGCGACCTGAATCGTTGATTCAAATCATCAACGGTCACGAATTATCCTTATGTTCTGTTTAAATCCCGATCCATTATCAGAAATTATCTCAGCCGTTGAATTACATAGATCCAACGGTCCCCATATTTTCCTAAAATCATTTTTCTTAAATAAGTAACTCCCCGATTTATCAGGGCTATTGATCAAGTGATCCAACGGTCCAGATCCTTTCTCCCATTTTTAACTCAGAGACCAACTGGTCTCATTCCAAAAACCCTAATTCATTTGCACCTTACTCAGCCGCCTCACCTCCCTCTTTCCTCTTCTTCTCTCTTCTCACTTGAGCATATATACCCGTCAATCGCCTGAGCCTTTGCACAAATTCGTGATTCTCGCTTAACATTCCCTTTCCGAGCACAAATTCAAACCGCCTAAATTCTGAAACCCTAACCTCAGAGATGAAACTTTAAATCGTCACTGATTTTTCAAATCCATGGCGTGCATGGCTATTCCTTTTGTTCCTGCACTCCCAGTCCCGTAGTTCTTTCTATTTTCGCCTTTCGATTTCAAAACCCTAGTCAAAGAAATCAGACCCCAAAGATGAAACTTCAAACTCATCTATTCCTTCCTTCGTTCATTCAAATCAAAGCGAACAGGAAGTGTTAGCTGGCTTCATCATTAATATTCGACACCCATAGGTCAAATGCAATGACCTCTGGGTATTAGGGTTTTGACTGATGGTTTCTTGTGCCTCAACGTTCAACAATTCACTCCACTCCAGTACACAGGTAAAATTATTATTGGATTCCCCTTTTGTCTTCTGATTTTCACTCGATTAGATATTATCATCTACCATGCATCACTATAAAAAGGGGTGATTTAGAATTCGTAAAGCCCTAGAGTAATGAATGCCACTATAAAAAGGGGTCTTTAATATTCTTACAATCGAACATAATCTAACACCAACAAACCAGAGCAACCTAAACTCTGAAAAGTTATAAACACTAAAAAATTAGGGTTTCTGATACTTAGGTCTCTTACTATTTTTCCTCTCTTTGCCGGTTCAAGCTTGAAGGTTTTCTGGGATCTTTGAGCAACAAAGGGAATTCATTTGATCTGCTGCCCTTAAATGATAAGAAAGGTCAGCACCTTTCTTTCCCCTTTCTTTTATTCACCTCGCTAAATGATTTAGATATGTTAATGTTAAGTTTTGTAGATCATAATTATGTTGTATGTGTTGAAAATGTTTGATAGTCATGTTTTTGTTAGTATAATAATCCTTTACGAGTAGCCTATTCTGTTATGATTCCTTAAGTGACAATCGATTAGTTGAGTGATAACTATTAGTCTTTGTTGTGAGCTTTTCCTACAGTCTCTATGCCTAAAGTCTTATATGTTTATGTTCAATGCAGACTTCATAGTTCTCAATGACCCATGATGAGCTTATTCCTGTTTTATTGCACTTCTGTAATTTTATTAGTTTTAAAAGCTAAGTGTGTTACTTGGTAGCTATTAAAACTTGAATTTGTTCAAGACTTATGTCCTTGTCCCTAAAACTTATGTTTGAACTTACAATGTTCAAGAACTTTCTTGTCTGCCTGTGTTTATTAAATTACTCTAGCCCATAGAAATTTGATGGATAGAAACAAGATTAGGTCACTACACAGTACCACAGAATCAATCGAATCATAACTCACACGGTGCACGCCCACATGCCCGTCACCTAGAATATGCGACACCTCAACACCAAACACATAACACGTATATTCAGGGGTTCATGCCCTCAGTACCAAGTTTAGAAGTGTTACTTACCTCGAACAAGCCGAATGCAATACTGAGCAAGCCAAACAATACTATGAAAACACCATCCCGTGCATACCAACCTCCGAATGGCTCAAACTAGCCAAAAGCAACTCAAAAACATCAACTAATGCCAAAGGAAACAAATCCAATTGATAAAGGTGGAATCATTAATCAAAAGCCCAAAGTCAACCAAAACGTCAAACCCGGGCCCACACATCGAAACCCGATAAAACTCACAAAATCTGATAACTCATTCAATTACGAGTCCAACCATACTAGTTTCACTCAAATCCGACTATGAATCGATGCTCAAAACTGGAAAATTCACTTTATGAAATTTTAGACAAAAAAACCCTATTTCTCTTTTGAAATCATCAACCAAATGCTAAAAACGAGGATAGATTCATGAAATATAATCAAAATCGAGTAGAGAATTGCTTCAAAACTCGTCTCAATCCGATCTCCATAGCTCCAAATATGCAAAAATGGCTTAAACTCCCGAAAATAGAGTACTTATAATCACTAAACAGGCATACCATTCGCGATCGCGGTACATCCTTCGCGATCGCGAAGAACAAACTTGAAAGCCTCCAAAAATACCCTACGCGTTCGCGAAACATCCCATGCGAACGCGATGAACACATGCACCTACACTACACGACCGCGACAAAAATAATGCTAACGCGAATAAGACATCTCCAGCTCCCTACTTTCCATCTCAGCTCTATGCGAATGCCGTCTCCCTTATGCGAACACGTATTGTAACCAACACCAAGCTACGCGAACATGGTCGTCCAATCGCGATCGCAATTAATACTGCCTAGCTCCAATTTCCTCTACGCGATCACACCTCCAACTTCGCGGTCGCGAAGAACATTTGGTGCACCAGACTTTACCAAAAACCAGCAATGCAAATATGAAGAAAAATGGTTTGAAATCAATCTGAATCACGCCCGAGCACCTCGGCACCTCGTCCGAACATACCAACAAGTCCTATAACATAACACGAACCTACTCGAGGCCCCAAATTATGCATAACAACATCAAAACCATAAATCGCACCTCAAATGGAACTTAATGAACTTTTGAACTTTCCACTTCCAAAACTCGTGTCGAACCATATCAAATCAACCTGGAATGAATTCAAATTTTGCACACAAGTCCCAAATGTCATGTCGAAGCTATTACAATTCCCGAAACCACAATACGAACCCGATATCATCAAATTCAACTCCCGGTCAAACTTATAAACATTCTAAACCTTCAAATTGCCAACTTTCGCCAAATAGTGCCAAAACTTTCTAGGAACATCCAAATACAAATCTGGGCCTATGCCCAAGTCCAAAATTACCATTCGGGCCTAACGGAACCATCAAAACTTCGATCCGAGATCAAATACTCAAAAGTCAAACTTGGTCAACTCTTCCAACTTAAAGCTTCAAACATGAAATTCATCCTTCCAAACTAATTCAGAATCACCCGAAAACCGAAACCGATGATACACACAAGTCATAATACATCATACGGAGCTACTCATGCCCACAAACCACCGATCGAAGTGCAAATTCTCAAAACAACCGATCGGGTCGTTACATTCTCCCCCACTTAAACATACGTTCGTCCTCGAACATGACAAGAGTCGTTCCAAAGCCTTCAATTCACTGTGCAACCTTACCATGCACATACCCGGGGGTGACCCCATGTCACCCCAATCCATATAAGCCTGACAACACGACGTAATGGAAGATCATTACTTAAATCTTAGTCTGTAAGCCTTAGAACCCAATTTCCAACATCTGGATCTCCTTACAGGACCCGAATCTCGCATCCACATTGTATAAGCCTGAACAAGCTGTATCAAGCCATAACCATAACCCAAGATGTAATCACATGATATACCGCACAACTCGCATACTCGTAGAAATAATTTTCGACCACAATATTTGCTCAAAACAAATGTGGTACCGGTAATAAACCTCATATCAAACAAAACCTCATTCGAAAACTTCGTACACTGCCGGTGATGAAAGAAACACGCAGAAACGCATAATCACTCATCAGATCAACAAGTCATGGACCCCACTCCCCTAACCAGAACCATAGCCCAAATTCTAAGCTGACCTCCGATATTACTCTTCTAGATACACCATAATCAAATTCGATAGCAATCACTTCAGGCCCAAGGACATCATCTCATCAAATACAAGCTACTCTACTGACATGCTACATCAATACTACCTAGAGCCACAAACTATGCAATTTGTGCACTAATAAGCAACAATTCAAATGTATACAAATATGGAAAATGACTCAAATGATGGAACCGACCCGCAAGTTCAATAGATACCACCACAAGCGCCACATAGTAGAACCAAGGCACACGAATCTAACACAATGGATCATATTCAAACATAACTCTGCTGCAATGCGTGACCCCATCCAAACACCGGTCTTATGAAATACCTCAAGCCATAATGCTCAAAATCAACAACTACAAGCAATTCGACATCAAATAAACAAAGTGTATGACCATAACTATGGAGAATCAAATAGCACAATATACCACAACCCGAAGAGAACATAACCACGGGGCAATCAACCATTCAACACCCCAATAACCATTTCGCTCAAATCTCGCTACGAGGCCCGAACAGAACCACATCATGTGTGCATATAACAGATAAATCACAACCCCTCGTAGCATAGAGAGTAATATGTAGAACATATCAGAACATGAACAAGCTCAACTCTAACTGAATGACACACCTTTCAGTAATAACGGTGATGAGTCAACAAATCCGACCCGGTGTAGAATACACATCCTCCTCGGGCCTACCAATGGGCCCCCATATCGACTCCGATTATCCCCAAATGGATAAATGGCCCTCCAAAAGTTCACAATAACCTAACCATAGCATGTACCATCATCTAGATAACTTTGGCCACATCTTCACAGTCCGCAACCACGAAACAATCTGCTTCTGAGAACTCCCAGTTTCCAAATCCATAGAACACACGAATCACCATAGTTGATACCAACTCCACCACTCGAATGACTAACACATCTCTCATATATAAGCATCCCCACGAGAAATACTTATATGATTCTTCCATGTCACATAGAAAAATCTGAAAATCAGCAGTCGATCAACCAGGCGAGTACCGCAAGACCAATGAAGCATCCGTAAGTCAAAACACAATGCGCCTTCTGAAATGCGCACCCTTCTCAGGCAATACCAAGTAGTAATAGCATTCCTTAAACATATAAAGCCATCCACATTGTTCAAAATTCATGACCTTCCCTACAAAACTGATTCGTCACCTTGTACATGCGAATCTCAACCCCACAGGACGCACGTCTATCATGCCATCATATAAAAAGTACAAGAATCTCATAATCAACTCTGAGTTACCAGCAGAACATATACTCGATCAGTTAGAAACCTTCAATGTGATCCCATCCAAGAGAAAATCACAATACCCAATATGCTCCTCACGCCGGTAGGAAATATCCATCTCAAACTGTGATAGAAACTATCGAGAACTCTTCGAAACCCATTTGCACATAACCAAGCCATCAGAACTGAATCTCTCTAACTCAACCAAGCCACTCAGGTCTCCAAATCCAAGAGTATTGCCACCAAAACACTTTTAGAGCCTCACCACATCATAAGTACCCAAAGAACCGATCAAATCCATTACCGTGCTAATCCAACCTACTACTCAACTGTCCTATTTCCCCGAGTTCCTTCCGAATTACCCTCAAATTGACACTTCTCCGTGATAGAACACCACGATCCTTACCCAAAGCTCACCACAAAATATCCTAACATAAAACCACACCGCCTTAAGGCCCAGAAACTGCTGCATTCCCTCTTAAGCACCCCAAAAGTACCACAATTGAGACATCCACTCTGAAGAGACCTTCTATGAATCTAAAGCCTTTTCCTTCAGCTTCCTGATATTGAAATGTAGAATCCATAATGATATAGAAATACCACGAGTCTCGACACCATCCAATACAAATCTCAGATTCTAGCCATGTACCAATCCGAAATTCTCAATTGCTACATATAAATCTTGAATCCATTAGAACCTCCTCGAGAGTCATCCATTATGCTCAAATCTCAATTGCATCGCCCAAACGGGTCGTACGACCTGTGCCCCATTAGTACAACAACACCCAAAAAAATAATCCACACCTCTATGCAACCGAGTGACCCCCTAAACCATTTCCAAGACTCCCATATACCGTAAGGGGTAATACATCATGAATCCAAAAATTTCTTAGTCAAGTCATCCTCAAAACCAACCTCTGCCAGTCATAACCAATCGACA